AAGGTGACTATTACTGTATATTGTCTCTGTTCCTTTCTGGTCTATGTTACTTTTAGGCTCTCTCTTTGCTTAGAGGACCCCTTTCAATATTTCTTATAGGGCTCCTTTGGTGATCACAAATTCTTACTATTAGTTTCTGTTTGTCCTCGAAGCTTTTTATCACTCTTTCTATTTTCAATGATATAGTATTCTTGGCTGCACATTTTTCTCATTTAGTACCCCACCTATTCAAATTTTAAAGGTATACATGCTAGGTCACAGTAACTCCACCACTCAGAATCTACCCTAGAGAAACCCTTGTGCATGTGAACACAGGGGCAGATACAAGGATGCTCCTTGCAGCACTATTTGTAATTACAAAAAAACAGAAACAAATGCCAATTAATCAGGGAATGATTAAGTAAGCAATGGCACATTCATATAGTGGAATACTACACAGCAGTTAAAAAGGAGAAGGTACACTCTACATAGTGACATGGATAGATCTCCTAACTATATGACTAAGTGAAAAAATCATGTTGTAGAATATGTCATGTTCATGTAGAGTATGACATCATTTATATAGAAAGAAAAATATAATACTATGTATTTTCTGTGGAACATATATATGTACAGGAAGTCCTGGAAAACTACTCCCCAAACTGACAACAGACATTATTTCTGATGAAGAAAAAAGAGAAGAAATTAGGAATGGGTGGGGGAGGGAAACATGGTCAGAGAACTTTCCTCTTATCTGTAAGATATTATTAAGTATATTTGTGCATTTTTTAATTTTTTTAAAGATTTTATTTATTTATTTGACTGAGGGAGAGATACAGTGAGAGAGGGAACACAAGCTGGGGGGGGGGGGGAGAGGGAGAAGCAGGCTTTCCACTGAGCAGGGAGCCCAATGCGGGGCTTGATCCCAGGACCCTGGGATCATGACCTGAGCCAAAGGCAGATGCTTAACCACTGAGCCACCCAGGTACCCCTCATTTTTTTAATTTTTTTAAAATAATTTTAGGAATTCATATCCCTGAGGGTCTAGAAGTCTAGATCCAAACAGCCAGTACAAATACAAAAGTTCATGGACATCTCTTGTTTAATCTCAAAAATTCCTGTCAATTCTGTACTCCATAATATGTTTGTTTTAATATGAACATGTTTGCAATGTTTACTTACTGGTTAAATTATACAACTTTCTCACCACCACCACCATCAAGAATAATAATAATCCTCGTATAAATTTGATACTCTAAGATGCATCATGCACCTGTGGATTCATGGCCATACCTCTCAGCAGCTGGTTGCTCTGGGTTCCCAGAGTCTTCATGAGGGGGAAGTACTAAAGGAGAAGATTCTGGTCTTTGGAGACACGGGTGCTGGAGGAACCCAGCTCTATGCTTCCATTTCACCTTCCTACATCGCCAGGAAGATTCTGGATGGGCCAGGTGGCCACCATCCAACAAGGAACACTCTGACTAGGCAAAGTTTCCCACAAACTTGTCACATCATGACAGCCTTTGTCTCGGGGACCCCCTCTCTCAGTCAGCCATAGATAGGCAAGGTCACAGGGTCGTTTTCCTCAGTGCACACAGCTCAAGCCAAGGTAACTTTATGTAGAAAGAACCTGCGGTGGCTGTGAAAAGACATTTTCCTGACAGAACTCCAACAAAGGGGAGCAAAGACTGAGGGCAGCAGCTGAAGAGCTGTGAAACCCATTCCTGCATCTGTGCCAAGCACAGCTCCCACAGCCAGCTCCCAGCAATGATGCAAACATAGCAGGGACGCAAAGGCAGGCCCATACTGGGGACACACAGGGCTCCCTGCACAGGCAACTTGTAGAGAAGTCCCCACAGCTATCAACGACACTTCCCCAACCTTCCCTCACTCTCTCCTTCACTCAGGGTCAGACTGGCATCATAATCTGACAGCCCCGTTTGCCCCTACACTGGCATCTTCCCTCATAAAACCCTTGCACATTTAATGCTGTCTTGGCATCTGTTTCTCAGAGCACCTAATTCTTCAGGAAGGGGCTTTGGGATCTTGGACATTGCCAGCCCGTGACAGGGGAGGGCATTGGAATGCACCTTGTAAAGATGAGCTGGGGTCTGGAGAGGATAGAAAATAGTGGTGGTTCAGGGAATCCCTGTAGGATGAATGGGAAGCAAAAAAGCATTCCTAAAAGAGAGTTATGTGATGTGGTGGTGCAAGGACCCCAAGAGGTCAGTAGGGCCAGAGAGTAGATGTGGCTGGAGAATAGCAGGGTATCTCAAATGCTGAGCCAAAGATCTAGGGCTTTCTCCTGCAGGCAACATGGAGTTGTTGAAAGTTTTGAGCAACTGGATCCTACCACCACATTTGTGTTTTTGGAAAGATGAGATGGGTCAAGACTGAAAGCCAGGTGGACAATAGGAGTTTACTAAGCCTAACAATAGGTCACTTGTCCCTTCGCACAGATTTAATGGGGAAGGAGTCTGAATATAATCGTCTCTATTAATGCTGCTGAATTTTACAACCAAATAACCCTTTTACTTTACTTTCTAGCATGAAACAGCTTCTCAAATTAATCCTCTCTTCGGTGTCTGAGAGCTATTCCTCTGGGAGACACAGCCAGGAATGCGGGATGCCCCCCAGCCAGATCTTGAGGCCTCTCTTACCCTACCCACACCTTCCTTTTGCTTTATCCCCCAAGAAAATTCCCATATTGGCACCTGTTTCCAGGAGTTCCCAGGCCCTTTCACACATCAGCAGCAGCATCCCGACACAGAGAACAAATGGCCCCACACCATCATCTTCTCTCAAGATAGGAGGGGCAATCCCACCTGCCTGAGTCCCCAAAGGCCTTTCCCTCTAAGGAAGAAGAACTCTCACTCTTGGCCTCAGTGGTTAATTCCAGAGCCCAAGAAATGGGCCATTGAGCTAAAACCAAAGAAGGTGTGAACCAGTGAGTAAGCAGCGAGGGGCCAATCCAGGAGAAGAGGGGGTGGGTGGGGTGGGGGGAGCCTTCTATTCTCCACAAGCAGCAGGGCCCAGGCTGGGATTGGTATCAGGCTCTTTCTCTTGGTTGGCAACTTGAGAGATTTCTTCAGTGTCCAAGACACTCAGTAAACATACTCCAGAGGCAAAAGGGAAATAGTTTGGGGGTCAGTTTATTCACTTAGCGTGGGCTCTGGCAGTTTTTCAATGACTGTTGAATCGCCAGAGGAATACAGTTTGTGTTTTCTACTCCTGAGAGCTGATAGCTATCTGATAACTGATTCTGTGTAATGGAGAGTTTACTGAACAGACCAGTGTCTAAGTCCGGGGTTCTCCAGGTGATCCCACTTATAACCTGCAGGAACAGCATAGCCCCGGGGAACTTGTTAGAAAAGCAAAATTTTGTCCTGCCCCCAGACCTAGTGAACCAGAAACTCAGCACTCTGCTTTAACAAGTCACTGTTACATGCTTTGAAAAAGTGGTTTTGATGCACGCCCAAGTTGGAGAACCATGAAGGGAAAGACCTTTCTGTATGGTGGGTCTGGACCCCTTGCCCCAAGGCCACCAAGAAGGAGGGGAACGTGAGGCTGAAGGAGCTCCTTGCTCTACAGAGTTCTTCAGATCCCCCCCACCCCAGACACCTGACCCTTTTCACTCCTTCCCTCAACTTCAATTTCTTCCTGGAAATTTTGGGCTTCCTGGTTCCCAAACTGGGATTTCCTTACTGACCTAACTTTAGATCTCCCTTCCCCGCAGCCACTCCAACCCCTAAAACTTCCAACTTCTCAAAACTCTTAGAGTGTCCCGTCCCCAACCCCCACCCCCACCCCACCGTGGCCCTGCCTTCAGTCCTGACAACCCCTGCGTGCCCCGTCTCCTTCCAGGCCTGCAGGACCCTGCCCCCCTCCCCAACCCAGTGGGCGGCTCAGGCCTCCTCGCCATCAGCCCCTACGAGCAGCAGCGGCTGCGCGTTTTTGCCCTTGTCGTGCCAGCACACGTCGAAGAAGGGGTACACGGGCCCGGGCAGGCGCTCGTGGAAGGCAAAGAGCAGCTCGAGGGCGTCGGCGTCGCTGGCATCATAAAAGGAGAGGACTCCGTCGCCGAAGCTTAGGTAGATCCCAATGCGCCACGGCCGCCTCTCAGGGGTGCGCAGTGAGCGCGGCTCCTTGGCTTCGACGTGCGCCTCCAGGATCTTGCCGTCTCGCAGCCCGATCAGCCAGAGGCCTTGCGAGGGCACGGCGTGCAGGCGGCCGCGGCGGCTGGCCTGGGCCGCGATCACGCCGAGGGCCCAGCGCGGCTTATCGCCCACCTCCACCTCCCAGTAGTGCTCGCCGTCGGACAGCAGCTGGTGCGTCACCACCGCCACAGCCTTGTCGAACTGGCACGGGTCCTCTCCGGCCGGCGGCGCCTTCTGCTCCGAGCACTCCACGCGGCGGCCGGAGGGAGACAGCACCAGGCTCGGGTGGGCCGTGCTCGGGTCAAAGGTCAGGTCCTTCATAACTGCCAAGGGCAGAGCGGTCAGGCCCCTGCGTGTCTGCCTCCCGCAAGCTTCTCCCAACCAACTTAGGGGCCAGCCGGTCTGCTCTAATCCCCCCAACATCTTTGGGAGGTGAGTCCCTCTCTGCTTCCTGGCTTGGGCCAAAGACTGGACCTGTCTGAGCTTCAGTCTGCTCGGCTGGAAAACGAGGCCATAACTGCCTCTTTCCAAGGTAGGGAGGATCCCGTGGATACAAGGCATGTAAGTCAGTAGCTGAGGCCCAGGTCCCAAAGCAGGAGACAGTCAAGAAGCTGGGTCCTAGGGCGCCTGGGTGGCTCAGTTGGTTAAGCGACTGCCTTCGGCTCAGGTCATGATCCCGGAGTCCTGGGATCGAGTCCCACATCGGGCTCCCGGCTCAGCGGGGAGCCTGCTTCTCCCTCTGACCCTATCCCCTCTCATGCTGTTTCTCTCTCTCTCTCTCTCTCTCTCTCTCTAAAATAAATAAAAAATAAATAAAAAGATTTAAAAAAAAAGAAGCTGGGTCCTAGGCCGGCCCCCGCCTCACCCAGCTGTGTGATTTCAGTCAGTCTCAAGCCCGTCTCTGGGCCTTACTTAGTCTTGCCTTGGATAAAACAGAATCTCCCCCCACCCCTCCTCCTGCAAGGCGGTCAGGGCTATTCCAGCCATGTGTGCATGTCCTGGAGTTCTGTAACCTATGGCACCTATGTGACCTAGCTCTCAGGGACAGGAGGCAGAACCCTTAGGGGCCTCCCCAGCCACAGGCCACCAGAGTCAGTGTCTGGCCTAGGCCCATCCCCAGGGTGTCTGTTCTGCACACCCTCAGCCTCCAACTGGCAGCCATGATCATCTCCGCTGGCCAGAGGGGGCAGGAATTGACCCAGGATCACACAGGGCTTGCCAACGGCAAGCAGGGTCCTCCCCACGTCAGCCCCCCACCCATAAACCCCATGCCCCCAAAGGTCCTTCTCTGAGCACAGGTTACAAGGGTGCAAGGCAAACCCCAGAGGTAAAGGGGCAATGGGCACCTTCTTCGATGACCTCCCAGCTGAGACTGAGAGGCCTCTCTTGCGTAGCCAGGACCTCCCCTCAACCACACAGTTACAAACACAAACCCGGAGACAGCCCCTCCCCAGTACCTGGCATCAGAGCCCGGAACATCTTCCTCCACACCTGGAATTTGAAGTCATCTGAGATGACAGGCAGCTGGATGTCCAGACGGGCAGGCGGTGGTGATTCTGCCAGGATCTTCTGTAGCCTGGGGGCGGGGAGGTGGGGGCAGCTGTGTGTGGAGGGACTTCCTGGAGGAGGCATGGAGCAGGGGCAGGGCCCGAGGCGTTACCCCAAAGAGAGGAGGACAGGGGCTGTGGTGGAGTTCCAGGATCTCTCCTGCATCACACCTGGGCTTTTATTACAACTCCGTCAGAGTTTCTGTTTGGAAGGATGAAAAAGTTCTGGAGGGAGGGGCGCCTGGGTGGCTCAGTTGGTTAAGCGACTGCCTTCGGCTCAGGTCATGATCCTGGAGTCCCGGGATCGAGTCCCGCATCGGGCTCCCTGCTCGGTGGGGAGTCTGCTTCTCCCTCTGACCCTCCCCCCTCTCATGTGCTCTCTCTCTCTCTCAAATAAATAAATAAAATCTTTAAAAAAAAAAAGTTCTGGTGGGAGATGGTGCTGGATGGTGGTGGCACAACACGAATGTACTTAAGGTCACTGAACTTAAAACGTGTACGTCAAAAAATGGTTAAAATGGCAAAGTTTACATCATGTATATTTTACCACAATTTTTTTGTTTATTTACTTACTTAAGTGATCTCTACACCCAACGTGGGGCTCAAACTCACGACCCCGAGATCAGGAGTTGCAGGTTCCACCGACTGAGTCAGCCAGGCACCCCCTTTTTTTTAAGATTTTTATTTATTTTTTAGAGAGCGAGCGAGAGAGAAACAGCATGAGAGGGGAGAGGGTCAGAGGGAGAAGCAGGCTCCCCGCTGAGCCGGGAGCCCGACGTGGGGCTCGATCCCAGGACCCTGGGATCATGACCCGAGCCGAAGGCAGACGCTTAACCATCTGAGCCACCCAGGCGCCCAATTTTTTTTTTTTTTTTAAGAAGAACCTTCTGTTGGGATAAGGGCCAAGCTCCTCAGCCTTCCAGTTTGCCCTCACCTACCACAGCGGCTTCATCTTCTCTCCCTCTTACCAGTCTTGGCCCGCCTCTTCCCCCAGCTCTTCACCTCCCCACTCCTGGCATTCCTCCAGCGCCCCCTCTGCGAAGCCTGCCGCCGGCACCCCCTTCCCGCCACTGCAGCACTGAGCCCCTACGGATGCCTGTGTCCCCGCCCAGGTCCGTCCCCAGCACCAGACTGGGAGGTCCCTGAGGAGAAAGACCAGGTCAGGGTCAGGGTCATTTCTGTGCTCAACACAAATGCAGGAAGATGGCGGTGGACAGAATGGGGTGTACAGGCTTGCTGTGATTAGACGGTGAGCCAGCCAGTGTCCCTGAAGACTAGGGCAAGTTGGGAAAAGGGGCAGGGCCAAGTTGATCTCACCTGCTGGTCACCAGGCAATATTTCTGGAAAGAGAGATAAAGAGATGGAGGTGAGACAGGCAGGGGAGACGCTGGGGACTTCTGAGGATGGATGGACCACCGGGAATGCTAAGTGTGGGGTCAGGAAGAAACAGGAAAGCCAAAAGAAACCCAGAATTTAAAGCCAACCCTAGCCCTTTACCTCTGTGTGAGCTATAAAAACGTACTCCCTTTCCTCAAGAGACCAATTCCACTGGGTAGAAGATTATCTAAATAAACATACAAACCTACAATGTCTATGATATGAATGGTGCCCACTTAAATCCAGTGTCTTTGTGTAGTGTCCAACCTAAACAACCATAACAGCAGTCCTGCCCCCTTCCCCCGATATGTGACCTGGCCTTGTCCTGTCCCTTTCTGGACCTCAAAGTCCATGTCTGACAATGGGATGAGGTCTCTAGGCCCCGAACCCTGGCTGAGAAGCAGAGAGGGAAGGACATCCAGTGCTCACCATGAGGAACTCAGTCTGGGGCTTGTCGGCCACCTCCTCCAGGACCTTCTCCATCTGCCGTAGCTGCTCCAGGTAAGAGTTCAGGCTTCCCAGCTCCCGCCGCAAGGCGACCCCTGCCTCACCCCGCACTCGCTCAGCCTCACGGTCCAAGGAGCCCTCCAGTGCCGCCAGGAACACCCGCATCTTGCCCAGCTGCTCCCCGACAGCCCCCCGGAACTGACGCACCGTCTCCTGGGGGAGCAAACAGGCAAAAGCACTGGGCTGGGAGCCCCAGGCCCATGCCCAGTCCCCCAGCCCTGCTGTGCTGAGCCCCTCACCTCCACCTCCATCAGCTGATGTTCCAGCACAGCCACACTCTTCTCCTTGCGCATGCACGCCTCCTGCAGCTGCAGCTTCTGCTGCGGCAGTTGCGTCTGAGGGGGTGAGGCATAAAGAAGTGAAGAGGCTGCCCCCGCCCCCCACGTGCCGCCCTAAACCTGCGCTCTCTGGCTCAGCCTCAGTGCCGGCTCCTCCTCCAGTCAGGTGGGCATCTCACCATTCCCCGAACTCGTGTGCAGATTTCTAGGCCCTCGCCGGCCCGGTCCTGATGTCAAGAACGCCTTACCCTCCCACTGCCTAGTTAGGGAAATCCTCCCTGGCCTCCCTCCCCTGAGCCCACACCCTGGGCCTTTAGCACCCCTAGCACAGGTCTTTGTGAGGGTGACAAACAGAGGGGCACAGCGCTGACACAGCCCGCCTCTCGGGGTGAGTGTAGGATGTATGAAGAAGTTCAACCTCCTCCTCTCTCTGGGCTTTACCCCATCCTTAAAAGCAGAATAATAACAAAACACCCCAATCAGCCTTCCTGCCCCCCGCCAAGGCCCGTGGGGGCAGGCAATTTAATAAAAATGTCTGCTGTGGGGCGCCTGGGTGGCTCAGTTGGTTAAGCGACTGCCTTCGGCTCAGGTCATGATCCTGGAGTCCCGGGATCGAGCCCTGAGTTGGGCTCCCTGCTCAGCAGGGAGTCTGCTTCTCCCTCTGACCCTCACCCCTCTTATGCTTTCTCTCTCATTCTCTCTCTCAAATAAATAAATAAAATCTTTTAAAAAAAAAATGTCTGCTGTGTTGGGGCACCTGGCTGGTTCAGTGGGTACAGCATGTGACTCTAGATCTCCTGGTGGGGGGAAAGCTTACTTTAAAAAAATATATTATCTGCTGCGTCTACCAAACAGATTTGTGGGCGGGATCCTCCCCTAGGCCTGCCAGTTTGTGAGTCCTGAAAGGCAGGTGTAGGGAAACTCCTAAGAGCCCCTGCCAAAGTCACTTTTTGCCTGGAAAGTGTATGGCCCTGGAATCAGACGGTCCCAGTCCCTCCTCCATGGCTTCCAACCTCAGTTTCCTCTTTTGCAGAATGGGAACAGTCTTCCTCACTTCACCCGGGGTTGTGACAGATCTGTGGCCTCCTCCCCACTCCGCGGAAGGGAAGCTGAGAGACCTTCTAGGCTCTGGCTGCGGATGAGTCCCCGTCTTAGCGGAAGCCCCAGGATTAGCCCATGGCCCCCGTGGCCAGCCTCAGGTCATGCTCCGGCCTGCTCCAAGACAGGGCAGACCTGGTGGCTCTTAGCATGGAGTCGTCAGAGGTTCAGTGGCGACAGGGCTAAGCCATGAGGAAGAAGCGTGACGCCACCCTGGATGCGCGGGGAATACTTGACCGCGGATGAGCTCAAGAAGTTCAAACTGAAGCTGGGGGCGGAGCCGCTGCGCCGAGGCTTCCAGAACATCCCGCGGGGCCTCTCCGGCAGCTAGACGCTCCACAAGCTGGTTGACCTCTGCGGTGAGCACTTCGGCTGCGAGCCCAAGGCAGTCAGGCTGCACGACATTGGCATGCAGGAGGAGGCAGCTCGGTTTCAAGGGGTCGCATCAGTCCCCCGCTCCCGGCAGATCCCATTCGACCACTCTTGAATCCTGGTACATGGTCTCTGGACACAGCCCCTCTTCGTCGCCAAGGACCCAGGCATCCAGCCGCGCGCCCCAGCCTTCCTGTCTCCCTCCTCCGTCAGACCCTTCTTGGGTCCCTTCTTCAGAATTCCTGCCAGTCCCTCTCTGTGGCTTGGGGCTGGGCTGATGCGGATCCTGGCAGAATGTATCCCGCCCCATCTGTCCCCTCCAGGCTCCTGGGTCCCCTGGTGCTCTGTTGCATGTCGGGGACTCTATTCCCTCTTGGCAGGTCTCTCTCTTCGGCCCAGATTGGGAGTTCTGGGGTTACCAGCAAAGGTGAGCCTGGGTTGGGAAGACTCCCGGGAAGAAGCTCCTGCGCTGGTCTAGAAGACCACCAGTCGGCACTGGGCAGAACTGGGCAAGGCAGGAGGGGGAGGGACGGTGAGGCTGGGTCCCTGGGGGAGTCTGGGGGCCTCGAATACCCGCCTGAGGACGGTGGTCTACTCTCTTTAGAAGTCTGGGGGCCAAGCAGAAGTGCAGTGGAAACGCTGATGTTTGTGGGCAAAGATAACCCGCAGAAGCTCACCCCGCTCATCATTCGCAAGAAGACGATGGCAGCTTCCCTGCCGGGGCTAAGGACCGCTCCCTGACTCCAGAACCCGCCTCGTCCCCCTCCCGCACCTGTCGTTTATTCTTCCACAGCCCAGCAAATGCTTCATGGCAGACCTTCCTGGGCCTGTGTAGACACATACTCTCCTGTCACTACATGCGTGTGATTTGCCACACGTCTGACACGGACGAGCCAGTGTGTGTAGGTGTGTGTGCGCGCGTCTCTATTTGCTAATGTCTTGGTATCTTTTCTGGGCACCCGTGGGAATCGCAAACCTTGGGGTGCGCACAACTGTGTGTGGGCTCAGTACACAAGCGTTCAAGACTTCCAGCTCCATCGAGAAAAACAGCCCGGATTTAGGTCTCGGTGCCAACCCGGGCCTGCGCACAGAGGTGGGTTTCCCAGGCCTGCCTTGCCCTCGCCGCCGGATGTAGTGACCCTCGGGCCCGCACAAGTTCTGCAGCTCGGGGGAGAACGTGGGCCTCCGCGAAGCAGGCCCGCGGCCCCAGCCAACACCGCCCCCCGGCCAACACCGCCCCCCGGCCAACACCGCCCCCCGGCTAACACCGCCCCCCGGCCGGCCGCCCCCCAAGCCCCGCCCCCAAGCCCCGCCCCGCTAGTCCTATCTGCCCCGCCTACGCCCGCGGAAGGGGCGGTGCTCGCGGGCCGCAGACACGTGTTCTCCTCCCTGCTCAGCCAAGTCCGCCGTGTGGCGGCTGCCCCTGCATCTCTGGGCGCGCTCCAGCCGCTAAGCCCGGGAAATCTAGGTTCCGGGCCGCAGCCGTTCCCCAGGGCCCGCCCCTGAGTGCCTCTTCCAGGCTCCCTTCTCCGCCTGCAGCTCGTCAGCCCCCATTCCCTAGCGGCCTCGCTCCGCCCCGCGTCCCCCGCCACTCCAGGCGCCCCCGGCCCCGAAGCTCAGAATCCAGGTCAATGCGGCGACCTCCAGATCGGCCAGACCCCGCTCCAGCCAACAACCCCGTCCCACCCCGGCCCCCCCGCCGCCGAAGGCCGCCCGATCCCCGCACCTTGAGGCGCGCATGAGCTTCGGCGGCGGGCAGCAAGCGGTGGCCGCGGTGCGAACCGAGCGAGGCGCACACGCCGCACACGAGCGCTCGGTCCTGCTCGCAGTAGATGCTGAGCGGGTCGAGGTGCTCCTGGCAGTGGCCCTGCGGCACCTGCGCCAGCCCCTCCACCAGGCGCGCCAGCTGCAGGTTGGTGCTGAGCGCCTGCGGCCGCGTGAGTGCCTGGCAGCTCGGGCAGGGCACCGTGCCGTCCGCCGCCGGCTCCCCAGCCACGCGGCTCAGGCAGGCGCGGCAGAAGCTGTGGCCGCACTCGGCCGTCACGGGCGCGTCGAACAGCTGCAGGCAGAGCGGGCAGGACAGCTCCTGGTGCAGGAGGCCCGGCGCAGCCGACATGACGGACCTGGGGAGAGGAGGGCTCAGTCAGGGAGGCTCAGCGGAGCCGCGAACCAGGCCCGGCCCCAGACCCAGACAGGGAGGATCCCCAGCCTATAAAGACCTCACGTCTCCTACAGAAAAGGACTCTGGTTCTGGCCAACGGGGAAGGGGGACTCGGTTTTGAGCCCCAAAGCAGTCTCAGTTGCATTTCTCAGCCCCAGCCCCCAAAACAGCCCCTAACAGGGACCTTGTCTCAATCCCAGGTCCTAAACAGGAGTCCAGGTTGCAGTCCTTCCCCTGTCTTAGGCCCAGGCCTCAGCCCCTGCCCCAAATTCCGCAGAGCCCCCACCCCCTACCTTCCTACCTCTCCGGGATCCCCAGGCCTCCCCTCCCCCATATCTCCAGGCCCACAAGACCCACAGGACTCACAGGTCTGGATGGAGATCTTGGGCGAAAAGAGACTCCCAGGAGGCCCACTCAAGGTCAGGCCTAACCTTAGGTGGGTGTCAGAGCTGTGTCTGGAGACAGACAAAGGGCAAGCAGCAAGCTCAGAGCAAGGACAGGGGACCCACAGGCACAGCTGGGAGCCGACACCACGGGTGAGGGCACACAGTGAATCGCAGACAGACCCTCCCAGACTGAGTCTTGGCCCCAGGACTATATTTAGTTGTCCTGCCCACCCCCTTCCATCACTTCTGGAAACCGTTCTAAAAGTGAGGACTGAGTTGTCAGCGGGCAAGCATCACATGTCAAGGCCACCTGTCCTGGTCCATCCACTGGCCCCTCCCTGGCTCAGCCTGGAGCCAGAAATTACAAAAGCAGGGAGATGGGGCCCCTCATACCACAGAAAAGACAGAAACACGTTTGGGAGGAGTCTCTCCTTTCTCCCCCACCCCACCCCCGCCCCATTCCACACTCTCCAGCCTCCCCTGTCCCTGACTGTGGCCCTCCCCAGTTTGTCACCCACTTATTCCCCAAGTTTATGGCTCTCCAAGATCACAGTGACCGTATTAGCTCCATCTGCAGGAGGACAGGACCTCAGACTACCCTGAAAGGTTTTCTTCCTCCAGAGTCGAGGGGAAGGTCTTTTCCCTGCTGGTCTCTCCAGTGCCCAGCACAGGCCCTGGGGCAAAGTGGGCCTCCCTAAGTGCTTGGAAAATGACTGAGAGAGGGACAGTTGAATAAATGAAGGAACTGAATCCACAGCCTGCAGCCCAGAAGTTGATTCTGCCCTGAGAGCATTGGGCTTTTACATGCTTAGCCTTCAAAACTCAGTTTAAATTGCATTCAGAATGAAAACCAAAGTCCTCACTGTGGCCTACAAAGCCCTACTGAAGCTGACCTCATTCTCCTCTCACCCCTCCCCACCTGCTCACTCCAGCCTTGGCCTTTGGGCTTGCTGGCCCCTCGGCCTGGAACACTCTTTCAGACATGGTTTCCATCCTACTCTCAGTGCGGCTTTTCCTAATTCCCCGATTTTAAATCTCATATCTCCCTCCCACTGCTCTGTTTTTCCCTATAACATTTATTACCATCTGACAAGCAATATTTTACTTATTGGTTTTTTTGACCGATTCCTCCTACCAGAATATAAATTTTGTACCCTGCTTGTCTCCAATTTAGAATAAAGCGTGTGCACACTGCAGATGCTCAGTAAATATCAGTGAATGAATAAACACACAAATTCACTGGATCCTTCTCTTTTGGCCTCTCAGCCACACTTTCTCTCAGCCTTTCCCTGGATTTGTCCGGTCTTAATCTGAGTTTCTGCTTACGTTTCAGTTTTATCTCACCCTTTGGACTCTCTTTTTGCCTCTCTCTTGGGTTTTTAATGTTCATTTTTATTAATTTTATCCCAAATGTGCACATGAGGTGTTCTAGATCAGAGACAGACTCATTAAATCTCTCCCAGGAAATAGCAAATGTCTGGCTCCCTGTGTCCTAGGATGATGGGATGAGAGCCAAGTTAACTGGCCCATGACGGTAGCCAGACACCCTAGAGAGGAGCAACAAGGAAGAATTCCTTTCCCTGATTATCAAGGAGGAGAAAGCAACTGCCCCTCTCCCCTGCTTAAAGATCTTCTTACTCCAACTCCTCGGCAAGTAAATAAATCTCCCCAGGAGCCAGATAGCTCCTTACACATCTCAGCTCAAGTCTTTGGTTTTATTGTTTTTATTTTTTTTTTAATTTCACAAATATATTTTATTTAACCAAGTGTAGCCAAAATATTATCATTTGACATGTAACCAATATGAAAATTATTAATGTGGGGCATCTGACTGGCTCAGTCGGTAGACCATGCAACTCTTGATCTCGGGGTCATGAATTCAAGCCCCATGTTGGGCGTAGAGCTTACTTAAATTATTAACAAAATATTTTACATTCTTCCTTTCATACTAAGTCTTTGAAAGCAGGTGTGTATATTACACTGAGGGCACATCTCATTTCAGACACCTCATTTCAAGTGCTCAAGAGCCACGTGTTTATAGTAGCTATCAAATGGGACAGCACAGCTCTATAATCTCCATGATCTTATAACAGATTACCATTAAAGATTGTCATATTAAGCCTTGTTGATTAAATATAGATTTGCTCTCATGTGCTTGATCAAAATCCTAGGAAAATGCAGAATTTGGGGGGGGTGGAAGAACTCCGTTATTTTAAGCAGAGTATTCTTGTATTTATATACAAAAGTTATATTTAGGAGCTGAACCTCCCATTCTTTTTTTTTTTTTTTTACTGGTACCTTCTCCAACCCTCCCTCCCAACCCATGCTTGCTTTTTGTTTTGGTTTGGTTTGGTTTTTTGTTGTTGTTGTTGTTAACATATAATGTATTGTTTCAGGGGTACAGGTCTGTGATTCATCAGTCTTACACAATTCACAGCACTCACCACAACACATACCCTCCCCATGTCCATCACCCAGCCACCCCATCCCTCCCACCCCCTCCCATTCCTTTTAATAATTTGTTAAATCCCAAAGCAGTATCTAGATAAACAATGACTTGCATCTCAAAAACGTAAGTAAACCCTAAATATTACAAATCTTTAGACTTGTCTCCAAGTTCTGTGGCTCATTTCTTCTAAAACACTTGAAGCTCTTCCATGTTGCCTGCTGGCCCACTTAGGAAGCTACCCCAGGCTTCCTGGCATCTTTGGGCTTAACCTAGGAACCTTGTACAGGCTATCATCATTTACGCCTCTCAGGAAGAGATAAGTTTTATTATTCTTTTGGATCAGAGCAATTGACTACACAAATAACTACAGTATTGAAAAGTCTCAGGAAGGGGTGCCTGGGTGGCTCAGTCGTTAAGCGTCTGCCTTCGGCTCAGGTCATGATCCCAGGGTCCTGGGATCAAGCCCCGCATCGGGCTCCCTGCTCGGCGGGAAGCCTGCTTCTCCCTCCCACTCCCCCTGCTTGTGTTCCCTCTCTTGCTGTGTCTCTCTCTATCAAATAAATAAAATCTTTAAAAAAAAAAAAAAGAAAGAACGAAAGAAAGAAAAGTCTCAGGAAGCTACTAAGGCTTTTTACCAGAACCCTGAGAAACCCAGGGAAGTTTGATTTCCCCAAAGAGGAGGGGGTGAGGATGAGAGCATATCTGGAGCTGGTCTCTGAAACCACAAACCATTTTACTTCCACTCAAAAAGTCGACATCCTGAATGTCGATCTCACCTGGAGTTTCCATCACTGCCAGGCTGAGGCTGAAGATTTTGGTCAATAGGAGTGGGTGCGCAGGTCAAGGAGGTGACAGTCAACTCAATCTCTCTCTGTGGATGGGCCAGATCTGACCTCTGACTCATGAGAGGGACATTGATTGTCTACAGCAGGTTGGAGGGAACATATCTGGAGGAGGAAGTAAGGACTTGTGATGCTAACCCTACGATATGATGGAGCTCTGTGAAGTCCCTGCAGCCAGAGCTCAGAGGGAGCAGATTCCGGCTTGTCCTAAGGGAGAGCTTCCCAATGGCTGAAGTCATAAATGCCATGGAAGGTGAGAGCTCTTGTATTGGATAAATGCAGAAAGAAGGCAGAAATCCTCCAATCAGGGCCACAGCAAAAGCAGGTCCTGAATGCTGATGTCACAGATTGGTGTTGGGTACGCCCAGGAAGATCACCTACCTCTCTGGACTCCAGCATCTTCAGCTACAACATGAGGATAAGTAGGATAACAATACCATCCCTGTCAGGTTGATATGAGGATTAAACTAGATATTATAGTAAACAAACACCAGGGACAGTATGTTGGCACCCAGGGGCTTAGGAGGCAGTGACTGCCACCACCAGGCTCAAATCTTGACTCTGCTCTTTCCTCATGTGACTTTGGGCAAGTCACTTAACCTGATTTTCTTATTTGTAAAATGGGAATCATGTAAGGATTTTTATTAAGACTCTAGATTGGGGGGCGCCTGGCTGGCTCAGTTGGTTAAGGGTCTGCCTTCAGCTCAGGTCATGATCCCAGGGTCCTGGGATCGAGCCCTGCATTAAGGTCCTTGCTCAGTGGGGAGCCTGCTTCTCCCTCTCCCTCTGCCTGCCACTCCCCCTGCTTGTGCTCTCTCTCTCTGTCAAATAAATAAATAAAATATTAAAAAGAAAAAAAAAAAGACTCTTGGATTGGGGCACCTTGGTGGCTCAGTTGGTTGAGCGTTCAACTCTTGGTTTCAGCTCAGGTCATGATCTCGGGGTCATGAAACCAAGCCCCGCATCGGGCTGTGCTCTCAGGGAGGAGTCTGCTGAAGATTCTCTCTCCATCTCCTTCTGCCCCTCCACAAACCCCAGCCCCCGCTCACTCACGCACTCTCTCTCAAATAAATAAATAAATCTTAAAAAAAAAAAAAACAGATTCTTGGATTGTTATGAAGATTCAACAAGCTAATTCATATAAAACTCTTAGAACAATGCCAAGCCCATAGGAAATGTTCAATAAATGTTGGCTATTGATATTATTACAATTATTATTACTAGGTATTCCAAGGAATCCTCCCTATAACCCTGTAAAGTCAATAACATCATCCCTACTTCAGAGACTGGGAAACTAAGGCTCAGAAACTTTAACAATGACAAAATCACCCACAATATGCCAGGCCTGTTCCAAGCATTTCACCATTCTTAATCCATTTATAACCTTATAACCTCATAACCTCATTTATAACCTTGTAACAACCCAACATTGTCCCTATTTTACAAGGAGGCCATGAGGAATGAGATTAAGTGGCTTGCCCAATGTTCTGACAATCTATGGTCTTGGCCGCAGAAGAAGCAATCTGGTTCCAGTGATCAAGGGTTACTTTGGCTGGGTGGGGAGAATCACACCCAGGAGGCATCTTACCACCACCAATAGCTCTGGCTCTAGTCCAGGGGCAAAGGTGGGCCTGAGGTAAGACCTGAAGGTTCTTTCCTTGCCAGGGATCAAAGTTCGGAGCTCTGAGCACTCCCCCCAGAAAAGGAGGTGTTGAGGGAGAAGGGATTATCATGGCTTCCCGGAGAGCTGCCCAAAGCTCCTATTCCCCACCTCCCCAGATGGAAATCACCCTGGCAGTGTCCAGGAACAAGTAGGTTCTGCCTCTACCTCCCTGGGGACTTTGGCCAAGTCATTGCCCTTCTCGGGGTTCTGATTCCCTACAGGCTGATGAGGTGAGCACATTCATATTACAGAATGCAGACCCCAGGGAGGGGCTGTGACCTCCCTAAGTCACACAGCTAAGAGGATCTGGGAATCGAATCTGAGTGGGTCTGACACCACTCATCTCCTGCTTTTCCCACTATTCCACAATCTTCTGAATGCAAGTTCTAGAGCTTTCTGCAAAGAGGAGGAAGTTAGC